CATAGAAACCACCAGCAGCACTGAGCTCAGCGAGACTCACCCCGTGCTGCTGAAGAAAAGGATGCACACTTTTACTGGTACAAAGCTTTGGGATCTGGGGCTGGGAGTGCCACTGACTGACCTTGTCCCAGGGTTTTGAGTCATTGGGAAATCAGTCCCAAGGGTGTGGGAGAGCTGGAAAGCACCAGCTCGATCAGCCTGCCCACCCCTGGCTGAGCTGCACCCACCCCCAGTGGAGGAGAACCCTCCCCCCCGTAGAGGACCAACTGTACCCTCAGTGCTGCTCCTCGAGGTGTGGAAATGCACAGCCGTGTCCCCCCAGCCGCAGGTGTCCAGCTGACACCCCGCAGGTAGTGGGACCAGTGCCGGTATGGGTCAGGATCCCAGCCTGGGGAAGCCCGTCCCAAGCTCAAGCTCCGCTCCTGGATTTGGCTGCTTTTGCTCACACCACCCAAAGAAACATTTTGTCCTTTATTAAACTCATTTCTCAATTTGTATTTAGCTTTGATTTTTTTTTTTTTTTTTTGTATTTGCACCAGGAAAAGCACTTGCTTGTGTGAGAACAAGTTTATTTTTTCCAGTTATCCTTGGGGTAATAAAATAGATGACAACCTGCACCACCAATCTTGCCCTGTTTATGCCTATGAACCACCATGGCAACAGAACTCTCTTCTTCATCACCCCGCCCTTCCAAAATCTCATCTGTTTGTTGACTCGCCTGTGTTCCTTGTCCCCAGGCAGCCGGTAGCTCTGAGCTCTCCTGCTCCACACCATCACACACAGTACTCGGGAGCTCGCACCAACCCCTGCTGTGGTATTATTTCCTCTAACTCATTTCATTGTCATTGTAATACTGTATTTGCCTTTCTTTGGTCTGTTGCTGTATTTTCATAAGGGAACTGGAGGAAGAACCGTTTCTCACTGTAGTTAGCTGGCATTAAATCTCAGTGCTGCACGTACATCGGCTCTTCTCTTGCTTTGCCTCCAGAACTTGCATTTAGCAGCAACGAACTTCACGTGGTACCTGGTGGCCTGGTCTCTTTGATGGTCTCCTGTCTGCTATAGACTCAAACTTGTATTTTTGTTATTTTAATCACTTTGTCACTTCACTACTCGCTCATGAATACAACTGGCCAATTTTTCCCATTTCTCACCTTTCATTCAGTTTGTGATCCCTGAAAACACTTTGTCTCATTTCCTGCAATGACCTCCCCAAGGGTCTTCCAAAGTCAAAGCACGAGGCTGCAGGAGCCTACCCTGTGGGCATGACAGCAAGACTGGGACTAAACTGTGACCAACAGTTTAACCCCTCTTCAGTCCCAGCTAGCTTTCTGTGAAAGTTAAGATGACAGACATCTGAAACTTGAGAGCAAAAGCTGGATCTGAAAAGGAGAAGAAGAAGAAGAAACGGTCGTGTTAACCGGCTGCTGCGTGCTGCTCCACCTGCACCGGGCTGCGGTGCGGGGCAGACGTGCGAACAGACCTCGCGCTGCCTTCCTAACTGCCCTCTGCCTTTTCGGGTCATGACAACTGCCTTGTCACAGGGTTTACACGTTTGTGTTATACCCGTAAAACACGCTGGTGCAGAGCACTGTTCACCAGGGAACGCGGTTCCTAGCGCTCGCCTTTGGCAGCATGCCTGTTTTGCAGCAAACCGGTCATTTCATCTCAACTCCGTCAAAGCTGGAAGTTTCTTTTTGCACTTTTGCACAAGCCAGCTCTCCAGCACCTTTAGATAGCCCCTTCCAGGGGACAGGGCCCACCCGACCACTCTGTGCCCACAAGGCCGCCTTTTGCAAGAGGGGGGCCAGTACCAGCCCTTCCATGAGAAAGAGTTTGCCTCTCACAGTGGGAGACACCAAAACTGACAAAACCGGCTGGGCTGTCAGGTCATGCCAAGAGAAACAACACGAGCACACAGGGTAACAATGAAACTGTTATAGCTTTATTTAATAACTGGTACAAAGTCCCCCTCAGGCAGACCCTCCCAGTCCCATTCCCTACCTGAAATGGAGCAGAACGTGAGCGTGACCCTCGGAGGAGCTGGCTCCCAGTGAGTCAGGACTGCTCAACAGTTAAGAAAGGATGTTTTGCTCATCTATCGAGACCTGTAGGAGCCTGACCACTCATCCCTTTTCTCCCATTAACAGCGAGACCCTGGCACGCAGCAGGCATTTGCCTCCCAGCTTCTGTGACCCGGCCAGATGTAAAAAGGCAGCGGAACTGTGAATTCCACGAAGACAGTAAATAGTGCCTGCATGGAGGCATTCACTGCGCATGCTTCTGACCTGACTCCCAGGAACGTGCATCTGCTGGCCATCATTTACGTTCACCGGTATTGCCTGCGCCTCAGTTAACAGCCTGTGCAGACACCCTGCCTGGGGCTGGCCGCAGCGGGAAGCAGAGCTGGCAGTGCAGGAGATTTCTGGTTCTCCACCTGGCAAGGGGCACTGCTGCCCATTTCACAACCTACTTGATGTTAAAGATTCACCTGTGCCAGGGTAGAACAGTGACTAGGTGTTAACTGCATCTGGCCCTTCGGCAGGAGAGGCGGTCTGGAAGCCAGGGCTGCTGTAGTTTAATCCCTTGTATTCGGTTCATAGTGCACCTTGGTTAGTTAAAGTTTACTTGTTAATTGCTTTGCCCTTTCAGGAGGCTCAGGTAAGAAATCACTCTGCTCCTTCTTCACACACATACAGAGATGAGACCAAGACAGTATTTCTGACCGTTTGTCTTCCCTACGGCTGCCTGGCATGCCAAGAGCCCTGGGAACACAAGGACCTTCTGGTGGGTTCTGTGCTCCAGGCACAGCTCTGCCAAAGAGCCCAGAGTTTCACATCATCATGGTCCTGCTTTCCCATGTCCCACGGATGCCATACTGACTGCACCACAAGGGTCCTTTAGCAGAAGCACAACTAGAAAGCAATTCTAAACCTCACAAAGCCACAGAAATAATACTTAAATGAACAGGGGAGACAGCGGCTGTCATCTGGATTGATATACAGCACAGACAGGGGATGATATCAGCATGTACAGTAACATGACTTACTAAGACTGCGGAATGTTAACGAGTTTTAAAGAGGCTCTGATGCCAACGGCATACAGAAAGGACCAAAGTAATGCCAAGTACAGACTACCAAGGAGGTGGCAGCTCAGATGGGCATGCACAAGTTAGAGAGGACAGTTAATGCCATGTTGGATGAAATGCTAGATTCTGAGTGGGTTCAGTGGGGGCGAGTGGAGTTGTCTGAATCCAGAAGAGGGGGTCCTGCCTAACAGGATACTTCCATGGTTTGAGGTGCATCCTGGAGGTCAATTCCTTCTGGGGTTCCAGCACTTCCTTCACCATGGTTGCTAGTATGAGACCGGCTGCGGACGCTCTCACCAGAGCCCACGCTAGAGGAGGAGTGAGTACGGGAGCGCATCAGCCTGGTCATACTAGCTGCTGGCACTGCAAGAAAGAACAAGTGTGGGACTTAGAAAAGGAGGAAGTTCCTAGAGCAAGTACCACAGTCACTCAGGTATGTGTCCCTGGGTAAGCACAAAAAGAGCTATACCCTCAGGAAGAAAACTCACTCTTCGCTGCCAAAACTGAGTCTTTGCACGTCTAAAGCAAGATGTTTAAGGCCCAATTTCAAAAGGTCCAAGGTGAGCAAATGCCAGAAGTGTAACTGATCATTTGCAAGTGCAGTCATGGTGAGTGTTTGTGCAAACCAAGGCAGCTGCTGTGCAGATGACCTTTTGAAAGTCAGTCTCGTCACTCTAGAAAACCACAGAGCTGAAGTCATGCAACAATCAACGAAATACAAATGAAAGGTGAAAAACCATAGCATACACATCGTACAATGGATCAGCCTAGCCCGCAGCAGACCAGCAGGACATGCCGAGACAGAGCAATGCACCCGAAGGATCATTCAACTCAGTACACAGACTTGGGCCGAGGCGGATGCACAGTTGAAGGTACCTGACTCAGTGCTTAGGTGGCTGAGCTGCACATAAGGGACTGGAAACAACATGAGACAAGGAAAGGGATGAATACAGGAAAGAGCCAATTAGTTGCAGTGTGTGACTAGCAGCTGCGCTGCTCCTGGGATCCCCAGCTACTCTCCCTTCCATTCCCAGCTCACACACTGCACTGAAAGCTCCCACTATTTGTGAAAAGAGCTGCTAATGAGCATCTCAGGGAGATGCCAAGTTGACTCAAAAATCCATCAGGGCCACATCTTTTCAATGCCTTTAGCTGGAAAGTGCGGTGTACCTGGTGACCCTACCTCCCCACTGTACACACCACAACTGCTCAACAAAGACGTCATTCTCCTGTGGTGGGGAAACTGGGGTATACTCTGCAACTCCAGATGCAGAACAGAAATTCATGTCCTTCCTTGAGCTGACAGCACCAGATCTCTGCTACAAGCCTCCTGCAAGGTGTTACCTTCCACCTGCAGTGCCAGCACAGGCAGGTCCAACTGTTTTAGCCAACATGCAGAAGGCACAAGAACAGTTGTTGAGGAACTGGCTTGTGCATTTCTAGAAATTGCAAGCTGCTGATTTGCTTCTCTCTCATTCTCCCCAAGAGAGGGGGCCTTCATGGCCACGCTCAGCAGTGCCAACACAGTCTTGCCCACCAAAGCTAGGAAAAACATTCTGGGACTAGCTCATAATTCTGCAAGTAAAAATTATCCCCTGTCCTTCCCCAGTGGTGTGCTTCCCATTTGCAAGAGATTTGACCCCCAAAATGCTGCTGAAGTCCTTGCTCTGATGACAGCACTTGCTGACTTGACTAACACCAGGAACACAAGAGATGTGAACATTGAAATGCTCTCAGGCTGTGTGGCTGAGGGAGCCTGCTCACATGGCACCCTCCTCTGCAGGACCAGGCTTTTCCGGCCAGCTTGGAGAACATGATTGTCTTACCACGTTCATGCCAACTACACATAGCTCTAAGGAAAAGGACAGCTTCTTCTGATCCTGACGCCCATGAGTCGGCAAAGAACTTCTGGCTGTGTGGAGACCATTGGGAGTGTCATAGCTGCCACAGTGGCCATGCTTAGTGGTGAACCAGCCACATGAACCAACCCCTCCCAGAATTACAGCTTTTGAAGGTTCATCATCCACAGAGGGGAACTGCTAGCCCTGGCCCCTGGCAGGCAAGACAAAGCTGTGCCAAGGTGCCTGCAATGGAGATGGAGTTGCTTTAGTGCCCTGAGAAGTCCTTCTCCTGAAGTCCCCCAGGCTCTGAAGTAATGAAGATGGGGGAGTTAAACCGCTGTCAGTCTGACACACTCAGGAGATAATGTCTTCTGCCTCCAAGCACATGGAGGAAGCCATAGGGCATGGCATGCACTGGATCAAAGCACAGCTCCCTCTGGGCTCCCTGGGTATCTCAGAAGTCACCCAGCTCTCTGTTCTGGCATTACAGGGTTTCATTCTGAGATATCACTTACCCCTGGCGAGACTCTGAAAGAAACAGATATGTCTGAAGAGAAAGGAAAGAGCTCTCAAGTACCCATCACAACCATGAGGCTGTACTGCTAACCCCTGCCCCTCCAGAGAAGGTATGCACAGAAGATTTCAGAAGATTTACTGTTCTTGGGAGCATGCTTTTCTGGACTGGCACAAAGACGGACTTACAAGGTTTTACCAACACCAGCAACCAAAAAGGGGTCACCACTCCAGCTGCAGTGCAGATTAAACACATGTCAGGGAACAACACTGGTTTGCTAAGGCTTGTTAGCACACTAGTCGATTTTCCAGCGTGGATGGATCTCCTGGCAACCACACTAACTCACGCGTAGGGACACAGATGTCAATGGGCTCAGATGGACCAGAAAGGCTGAGTTCCCTTCACAATAACCCCGCTCCAAACCAGAAAACTGTGTTTGCCACTTACTGTAGCCCATTCCCTGCACAAAGTACTTGAAGGCTTCAGTCAGCTTGCCGGGCTGTGGAAACAGAAAGTGCAGCTTTAGTGCGAGCAGAGCAAGCGGCCCTGTACAACCCAAATGCCACAGGAGAGCCGAAGAGGAATTTCTCACCTGAACCACCTGGGGCAGGCCCCCGCAGTCGGCCATCTGCAACAGGAAACAAAAGGGAGGTTGAACCGTCCTTCCCACCCTAGAAGGACAACCCCAGAACCACGCCAGCACTGCCCACCCCACCGGGGCTGATGGTACCAGGCTGCACTGCTACCTGAGGCACACTTCTGTCATCTTGTCTCTAAAGCCGAAGCAAGGCCTGGTGATATGATGTCTTCTGGCAGCCTCGTGCTGAAGGAACCCAGCACCTTGGAGGACACATTACCAAGCGATCTCAGGCCATACTCTAGGAGCCTAGGAGTAAACCTCCACTGTCCTGGCTCCTCCTGCCACTCTTCCGAAACCTGTCACTTTGCACTTCTATGCAGCAGCTGTCTGGCACACTGTGGAGCCATAGCTGAGGATGTGAAGGACTGGTATAAAGCTAGAAAAAGTGATGTTGTTGCTGGCAGAGAGCAAGGCGGAGGCAGGGCACCTCTGCTAACTCTCAGCAGGTCTTCCCTGCTGGTTGAAGGTAACAGAGAAGTGCCCACAAAGCAGGGATTCAGGGACCCCCTGACAAACTCTCCTCTCCCAAGTCTGGCTCCACACTGGAGAGAACACAGCCCTGAATGACTGTCCACGAACTTCTTAAAGCTAAATGTATGGAAGGCAAAAACCTAAGTGGAGCTGGCCTCAGCAAAAATAATGTCTTTGTGCAGGCTGGAATGATTCTGGAGTGGCACTCACCTTCAGAAGGGTAGTTTTGGTTGGGTCAAGACGTGAATTGCATTCAACCTAAAATAAGAGGAAAGAGGGACATGATATCACACAGAAAACTTGAAGAGTCACATGTAAAATGCGGGGCAGCTGCACCAGAGACAGTGGCTGCCTTCAGCAATGGGAGCTTCTCTGGGGCCAAGAAGGACCAAGCAAGAAAGCAGAGAGCAAGTAGGAAGTTAACAATGAATGAAAGGTGCAGTAGGAAAGGCAGGTGTTCCCATCCAAGGGGACCTTGTGGTGACAGAATGTCACTGTTGTAAGATGCGGCTGTGACTTCAAGGGAAATCATCCCCTGGTTTGGGGGATGCACCATGAAGCCCTGAAGCACCTTCTGGGCTCTGACAGCAAGACTGGAAGAGAAGGAGACTTCTGTGCAGTGCAGCATGGAGGGAGATCACTCAATCCCCTGGCCAGACAAGGAGGCCACAGCCACTTCTTCTCTGTAAGGCTACTGCAAAAAGGGAATAGATGGGGGCCCTATAGGAAAAGCAACCCCAGCAGGAGAGATTATTATGAGCTTGGAACCTGGGCAGCCAGATAGGCAAGCCAAGGCCCAGAAGACCCCATCCTGTCCCCGAGCTGTGGCTGGGAAGAAACCAGAATCCTCAGAGATAGTATCCTAGCAAAGTCAAAACTTGCAGAATGTCTCAGACTTCCACACCAAACACAATGATGAAAAGGCAACAGGCCATGACCGGAAAAAGCCCTGCACCAGTTCTCCATGCACAGCTCCTAAGTCCAAGTTACTGCTTTAGGAGACTCCTACACTCTTCCACGGTTTCTTAAGACAACTGCTTTTGTTCACAAGCCCCTGGTCTCCCCATAATCACTGGCTGAAGGGGAGGAGCAACATCCAACATAACCACACTGCAGTGTGCCATACCCCATTTAGAACTGTGCTGGGAGGGAAGTGGGTTATAGGTGTCTGCAGAGAACAACAGGAAGGAGATGCCTCTCAGTGTTGCCTTCTCTATGATGCAATGTTTTTGCAGTGCTCTGCACGACTCCCCACCACAGGAGCTGGAGTCACACTGCTTTTTTTTAACCCCCAAGTAGCCGCAGTACAACAGCAAGAGAACAGTAATTCAGGACTTGAACTGAACTCCAGGCAGCAGCTTGGCAGAACTCAGGGAAAGACGCAAGTTCCTGAAAGGGGTCCTCTGCATCACTTGTCAAGCAAAACGCTTGGGCACAAGGACTCTTCGTATTCAGATCCTGCTGTCCTCACCTCAGAGCTGCCCTGCAGGGCCATTAAGTCTCCTGAGCCTCGGCTCTCCCACTAGTTGCTGACAGATCTCAATAGCTGGGGGACTAGAAAAGAGCTTGGGACAAAGAGCCGCTTTCTGTGACTGCTTCTGGGCAAGGTGAAAGCACTGCTGGATGAGGTAGGTTTGCCAAGTGATTTGTGGGGCTAATGTCCCGAGAGGGAAGAGTTCACGTATACGTACCACTGCTTCCACGGCAGGTGAGTTGTCGCCCACCACTAGCAAGGCAGGGCACCTGGCAAAAACCCAAACCAGAGATGTTACTCACAGTGCATCTAAGGGATTTCTGAGAAGGTTGCGCTCTGTGAATGGCCTCATGAAAGGTTAACAACGCTCATCAAAACCCTCATCTGCCACCACACCACGGCATGGCATTTTGTTGCACCAAAACATCCTCCAGGGCTCGCACACACATCCATACTGTCCCCTCCAGGCACGCCAACTGCCATGACTGTTGCACACATGTTAAAAGATCTGCCTAGGGCTGGGAGAAACACCATCCCAGGCTGCAAAAGGGAATGTGCTCTCCGAAATGAACGTCTGTTAGGAAATTAAGAATAACCACAGCCACCAGAGTTTAATGCTTCTGAGGCTGGCTTCTGCTCAGCACTGTATTTTGGTTTGGATTTTAGAAAGAAACACAGAAGGTGTCGGGGAATATATTGAAAAATGTCATGATATCAAAGCCTCTGTTGGCAAATCTGTGCCCTCATATCCATTTTCATAAGTATGGTAATTCTAGAAGAAGAATTAACATTCAATGTGTAAAACATACAGAGGAGGTCACACAACAAGTGGCTGTGAATTTGCACTATTCATTTACAGATCAAAGTAAGAAAGGTGTAGCTAGAGGCCCCACTTTTGTGCGTTGACTAGATGACAAAAATTAGACTAGAGAGGTTGTGAGCCACAGACCTCAGGACCAGTGGAGTACCACCTCTAAGGAGACAGACGATCTATACGCAAGTCTACAGGCACAGAGATCCAAACTTCCACAAGAGATATTTCAAGGGTCTGCAGATCCCTGTGAGCCACTTGAATGGGCAGACAGTGCTCTGTGGCTCCCAGCTGCCTGCATGACAGAGAGCAGCACAATTGGCTTTGCCTGGCGACCCAGCAGGGAAATCCACCTCTTTTAGGTTAGCCAAGATCTAGAGGATCTGGCTGTGGATGCCTAAAACATTCCTGGGACTGGCAGGAGCACAAATCCAGAAAATTTCCAAGGAGTGAAGCGCAGAGCCTGGGCAGCACTCTCTGGCCCAGCCCAGGCATCCTGCCTCAGCACTGCAATTTGCAGTCTTCATGTGCTCTACATGTTGGAGATAATTTGCCCCTTTTGCTTTCTTGCTTGGAATCTGAAAACTTACTTCTACATCCCCTGTGCTGATTATCACTAGTTCTCCAGTCTCTGTCCCTTCTCAGCTGTACCCTGCACAGACTATCCCCTCTCAGATGAAAGAGTCACTGCCAAGGTGGGAAAACACCACTGCATTCTCTGCATTCAGAACCCACTGCCATCTCTGGGAGAATTGTGCAGGTAACTTTTTTCAGCAAGGTGGGGAAAGGCAGTCAGTGGCAACAAACAAAAACCTGCCTCTCTAATTTTTCATGCAAAACAATCAAACTAACTACTCAGCAAGTACAGTGACTGCTGGGTGGATGTACTTATTCCTCTGACCCTGCCTTCTGGAGGGTCTCAGTGTGTACTTAAGGAAAGGGCTTCCAGACACCTCTCTGCCCCATTCTAGCTGACAGCACTGCACCACAGCCTGGGACTGTCTCGAATAGTTTTTCCAGCGCTTGGGCTTGTAGCGTTCTTGCTGAGAAGCAGCAACAGCTTTTCTGCTGAAGGGACTGCACAGTAAGTGACTGAGACAGGCTGATCAGAGCAACTTACTTGAGTGTTTTTGCAGTATTTTCATTGATGCCAAGAACTGGTCTCTCAATTTCCAGGTCTCTACGACTGAAAGACAAAGCAGAACAATTCTCCATCAAATCAGCAGAGGAAACTGGTTATCGTGGAAGCATTCAAAATCCAACCAGGAGTGCTGGTTCCAGCACCCAGGGACAGGTTATCACTCCCTGCGTCATGCCATGACCAGGAGCCCCAACAGTCACCGCCAGAAAACAGGACCCAAGCTCTCATGGTAAGCTTGCTGTGTGCCCAGAGAGATGATCTGCTGAGGTGTGAAAGGGTCATTCAGGCACGAGGGCTGAGCTTGGCTCAGGATAATGGCTGAAAACTAGGCTTAGGACAAAGGTTCATATGATGTAATATCCAATAGAATAATACATATGGCAGTAATTCTACTGATCAGGGAAACTATGGGAGCAATCTAGCAGGCAAAAAGGTATCCTGTACCTGTTATATGAAGTGAGGAACAGCTGAAGGTTATCTTGGTTAATGTCCTGCGCGATATGAAGCCTGTATGTTTGGATCAAATCTAGATTTGCCTGCAGTTCCTCCTGTACAAAAGCAGAATTGAAAGATAGGGAACACCATCTTTTTCACAAGTAAAGAAATGATACTCATCAAAATAATGAAGTATTACACTGTCTCCATACACATCATTCCCTATGAACAATAACACAGAGGGCAGCGACTCCAGGCTGCCTTAGTACCTAGGCTACATGAAGTGTTTCTGTGACATGACTGTTACATGCCATACTTTGGTAATGTGGCTACACTTTTACACGTGGCAGTGCACATTCTGCTGCAGGAGTACAAAGGTACCTTGAGATGAGAGAAGTTACCTCCCAAGCCTCAGTAATGCTTATACAGATACAAATCACTCTGTTTTGGGAAGGTCTTCTGCTTGTGCTTAATGTTAAAGAAGCAAAGCTTTATAGGTAAGCCCCAAGACTGGGACCAAAGTAAAACTGAATCCCAGTTTTATGAAGAAACTGCATTCCAATGAGAGCTAGAGAGAGACAGTGAGAAAAGGGAATGCAAGGAAGCACTACATACAATGAAGGGGCCTGAAAGTGGGAAGAGAACAGCATGTGCTCTAAGTAGGGGGAAGCTATGTGACTCTTTCCACTGCAGACGTGCTGCTGCAGGAGGGCTTCAGGTCAGGGACCGATCTGTTGCATATCATATATAACATACATAGTGTGCATGAGGCACACATCCTTTCAGCTGCCCGCTAAGCTTGCTGGTTGGGAGCCAGTAAATCCCAAACAGAAGGCATTGCTGTATCCAGAGTTTTCAGGAGGGACTGGATTGCCTCTGCTGAAATTGAAGGGGAAGACGAAGAGAAGAATGCAGCACTTCCAACATTTGGACACATACAATATTCCACTGTCAACTCCCAGCTGATCTGTGCTCTACCTACAGCCCGAATGCTTCCATGCTGGCTACAGAAAACCAGCTGCCACTCATTTCTGCAGACAGCTTCCTGGACACCACAAAGACAGGAGTTCTAGCTGTAGTGTGTGGGATGCTACTTCCTTAACATGTCTGGAGACAGCTTGGGCAAGCGTGAGGACGTGCACACTCCCCGCAGTGTGCAAAGCCCTGATGCAAGCTTGACACACAGAGAAGATAGTACTATCTGTGGCAACCCTTATTTGATGGATGAGAGCTATTTCAGAGCAGGAACATACAGAAGTTATAGCTCCATGTACAGTTGCACAGGCAACATTAATACCTGCTGGGTACTTACGTGGCCAAAATGATGTGCCAAGACAATATCCACTATGTTGGTTGTCCAGCCTGAAAACTGAAGAGTGGCCATGAATGAGGAGGAGGGACAGTAACTGGAAAATGCAGTTTCATTACAAATTTCAAAGCAGCCCCTCAGACTAAAGAAAATAACAAAGAAACTATTGAAGTGATATAAGAAACAACTGCCTGAAGCTTGGAATGGGCGTGCAAGTCTCCAAAGAAGCCCGTGCACACACAACACACAGCTCTCCAGAAACTTGGAACCCTGAATAACTGCAAGTTGCCAGAATAACAGAATAATTAAAAGATCCATTCAACCTCAGCCAAACGAAGCCTGCAAGCATGAGTACTAGATCAGAGGAAAGTTGAGTGCTCAACAGCCACTCATCTCCAAGCAGTTTACCAGAATTTGTCATTCACAGCCATCCCTGTGCTCCTATGGTAGAGGCTGTACTACAACCAGACTGAGAATGCAGCAGGGAGAGAAATGAGATTGTAGTTTTTGCCAAAAACGGACAAATTCCTGTATTCTGTCGTTTTTCTTGTTACTCTACACACTGTTCATTAAGCACTGCAGAGAGGAGATATGCAGGGGAAGGAGAATCTCACCTTCGATGCTGCCCAGTCAATCCAGCCCTTTGCACAGGGATCAACATTAATAAGAACGAGTCCCTCCACGAGGTCGGGATGGCTGAGCTGTGGGGAGAGAGCACAGGCACACTGAGAAGGATGATTCAGCCCACACACCGGTCAATGGCAGGTGCGGCAGATGGAAAGCTTCTTGCAAAAGGAAGACAGAGTAAAACAAAGACTAAGCGGGGAGCTCCTTCTGTGCCAGGCAGCCAGTGGCCTTTTCAGAGCCTGGCCCAAAGCTGGCTCCCAGCCAGACCTTACTTGATACAGTTTTTGGCACTGAGGGACTGATTGCTCACACAGCACCTGCAGCCCAAGTAGGCCTCAGCAGTGTCTTCTGGTGACCCACGTGTGTGGTGTCGCCGCACGTCCTGCTCAGGCTCCCGTGTATTCCAGGGCTGTGGGCAGAGACTCCCTCTGCTCCAGTCTGGCACCTCCGGGAAGGACCTGGACAAACTCCTGTGCCCGGAGAGCACCTCCTTCCACTCCTCAAGGAAGAGGCAGTCTCCCAGTGGAGATATGGCAAACTGGCAGTATTTGGCAAATGGCGCAGGAGTTAGTGCAGAGGCCCTGCAAGCACCTGCAGCCTGAGCAGAGGCCTGGGAAGCCCCAGCTGCAGGGACACCCAGCTCACCAGAGGGCACCTGCACGGCCCCTCAAGCCTGCAGACACCCCATCCCCTGCTCCAGCCTGGCATCCCCAGCGCCCCGCAATTTACCTTGCGCGGGGGGGTGTGTGTGGGGAGCACGGGTACAAAATACTTTGAGAACTGCTTGAAAACACAAACCCAGCAGTCTAACACAACCAGAGAACTTTGAGCTGTAGGTTTACTCCAAGGCTGAAATTTTACATCAGCTCTTCTGCTCCACTGTATACACTCACACTGGATAAGCAGAGGGAAACAACTCTGTCCTCAGAAGGAAACTGTCTGGAATCCAGGTAGCATGGCAAGGGCTTTCTGGCACTTCACTGAGCTGAGGAAAAAGGCTTATTTGTGTGATCTTCTCTTTAGTGAGACTGAAAACTACACAAGACACAAAAGACAAGGAACAGAGCAAATACCAGTGCCTCACACTGCCCCAGGCTCAACCCTGACTGGAGGAAATGGGAGCAGAGAACTTTTTGTAGGAGGGGCAGCTGCATGGTGAAGTGGCTTTTAGAAGCAATAATGGCCTAAATCATCAGCAACTCAACAACTTGAAGCAAACTTTACTGAGAATGTCAGATTTCTGTTGTTTGGCTGTTTGGTTTTTTTTAACGCTATCTCTGAAAGACTCAGGCAAATTCCTGGGCTGCTAAACTATGTTTACTGATTTCACATGCTTATAAACACCCCGCTAGAGAGAAATGTAGAAGTACCAAGATAAAGCTTGCACTCTTTTGTCAAAGGGTGGAGTGCAAAATCTACTTCCTTCCAGTGAAAAAGCACATTCCTCATCAGCGCCAGTTCACAGCACCTGACCAAATCAATTGTTTAATGTCACAAACACTGGAAACAGCATACAGTAATGCAGCCAGTCTTTGTAAAGACACAAGGCTGGATATTGCTAGCAGCCAGGATGGGCTCTGCTGACTCAAAGACATCAAAATACAATCTTTCCACATCTGGCATAGCTTCAGAGTAACCTTGGTTGTGAAGTAGCTCTCACATGGCTCCCTCCAGGCCTACTCTAATTACTGACTGCTACTTTGCCTATGCCCCAAAAATAGTCTGTTTAACCAGTGGAAGACCACAGCTCATGTAAGTCACAAGGAAATGAAGAGATACTTACTGCACACCTGCTGAGGACATAAGCGCCAGCTCCCAGTCCAATCCCAATGAAGCTTTTCAGGCTGAAATACAGGCATTTCACAATCAGCAAGGCTAACTTAAGCTTACAGCCAAAGCATCCCTAGAGGCAAAGCCTGCCCTCTCTCTGCATCAAGCTGTTCACTTATGGTTCATTTTTGAAACGACCCAGCAATGATGCAGCAGCCATAAATTGTCTCATGTGGCAGACAATGTTCCCAGCATAAGAACCAGACAGGGTTACACAGGTTAGGAGATGCTCAGGCCTCTTGGGACAACTCAGTGAGCGTATCAGATGTTGCAAGCAGAGATAGAGGTGGGTGCTGAAATAGCTGTATCCAGCTGGCTCACCCCATTTCCTTTCAGAGACTTACTTCAGGTGCGTCAGAACAGCGGGCAGCATTTCAGCCAGTTCATCCATACTGGGATACTGGTACCTGAAAACCAAGAGAAAGTGAAATCAAAGCACCTCCAAATACAGCTTGACAGAGGTTACCTTCCAGCTCTACCCAAGGTAGGAGAGACAAGGAACATCTGACAGGAATGTGCATAGGTGATTATTTTGCAACGATAACTGTGTATTCCAGCCAACTGCATGGATCCCATCCCTCAGAGCAAGACTAACACAGAGCTGTAGGTTTTGGGCAGTCAGACTTCTGTGGGAGGATGGACAGACGGAGCAAGGAACGCCAGCTAAACTGCAGCGTGCTGAGCTCATGCTCAAGTCAGAAACCTGGTATCAGCACTCACCACTACTGAGGGCTTTACCCATGCCTCAGTAATAGGGGAGTTCCCTGAATGCCCCTTGGGAAGCCTCCTCATCTTCCCATTTCCTCTGCTCCTGAAAGCTGCCTCCCACTACACTCAGCCTGGCAGCCCTCGTTGGCTTAAATCAGGTGCCACCTCAGTCCAGACTGCAATCCAGACCACATCTGGACCAACAAGGGACTCTGCAGAGCTCTTACCCAGATGGGAATGGGGGGGCTCCTTCCTGCTGGCCTGGTGCATCCACGTGGCACACAGCAAAATGCTGAGTGATCTCTTGCATGTCTTCGAAGTTAAAGAATGCGTTAAAACAGGATTTGTCTACAACAACAACAAAAAGAAATGAGACAATTCCTGAAGTTTTATTGCAATCCACCCTCCAAACACTACAGCACACACCTGCATGAGCCCAACCCGCCCACGGCTGCGTCTGCGGGGCAGTGGATGCTGGGTGATGCACGCTGCTATGCCCCTGACTGCAATGCAGGAGCCAGTCCTAGCAAAGTAACTGCCACGTCTGGAGGGCAGGCAGACAAGCGATGCTCCAGCATGTGTGCTCAGGGGAGTGAGGAGCACCTGTGTGAACGTAACAGTACACGTTGGGTGGGAAGACAAGTCGAAAGAGCAACCGAGCCCGCTAGAAACATTACACTACTTCTGCAGCCTTGTAGAAGGGACTTGCTCACCTGGCTAGCATCCAGGAAATGGATGCCTTGTGGCAGCTCTGTCACACAGTACAACAAGTCAGTTACAGCACTACAGTGTGCTCGTGGACCTATGTCCTCCTTTCCACCTTGGCCCTACCTTTCAAGGGCTGTTGGAACGGACATGGGCATGCCACATGCTCTCTCTCCTGCAGACCTTTATCTTTTTACCCTGGAATGACCTCTCTCATCTCAGTTCCAGGCCAGTGCCACTGGTCCCCGCACTCAAAAAAGCAAATACCACAAACAACCACTTTTTCAGGGTCCTGGGAATGCAAGGGCTTACGGTTGAGGCCAATGTCATGGTATGTGAGGATGACAGGTCTGTTCCCCTTGGGTGTGCCCCGCATGGTGACATGGACCACTCCAAAAGCTGTCTCAATGTCATGTTCCTGCAAAGAGAGAAGAGAGAGCCTCAGTGTTACGTGCGCTGCCTGCACTGCAGGGAACCCTAACTGAGGGCCTGCATCAAGGGCCTCATCCACACTTTAACATTGCTCTCCTATCCACAGCTGGTGGCTCAGTACAGCTCTTGCAATCTGCAATCCTGTCAAATCCCTCTCTCCAACCACTGCCAAAAGCAAGTTGCTTTTGTACAGATGTGTGAAGGGGTGGCGGCTGTGTCTTCTTGTGACCAAGATCTCACTTCAATGGCCTTTAGTGACGTTGCTGCACCGTAGCAGAAGCTGGGTGTCATGTGTCCATCTGTCTCTAGGGGTTCATGGCATCAGGAACGCAGCTCCACTCCCACAGCCAAGCCCTCACTCCCCAGCTGGCATCCCTCTCCCTGCAACCCACCAGTCCACAAATCTCTTGTTGGTGTGCCTCCCACCCACACCCCTGGGAACATCCTGTCCGCGGGCAAGCCAATGCAAGGGGACACAGCAATGTCCGAGACACTGGTGGCAGCCCCAGCCCCAGTGACCATGTGCCAGAGGGTTTTGGAAACAGCACGACAACACAGAGAAGGCAGATGGCTGGGATGGCAAAGAGACCCAAGCTCCCCATATCCAGTCACTGGCTGCCTGGGAAGTTGTACCCATCCACAGGGGAGTGGGTGGCAGCTTTTCCTTTCACCAGCATTAAAAATGAAAGATACAGATCCAAGTGCACCTGTTCTCCCAGGCTGCCTGTCTATGTCAGCCCCACCTTGGGCATTTGGCCAAGAGCCCATCAGATCTTGACTACACTGCTGCGTTAATGTTCGCTAGACCTGTCACTCCAGGGAAGGCTGAGCACTCTGACTTAACCGAACACTTTTTTCCCTGCTACCAGGTTTGCAAAAAGTGACAGTAAAACACCCTTAGGCTCCTCCAGCAGCTAGCACAGATACAGGAGGTTAAGCTGGTTTCCAGCTGGGTATCGGTGGAGCAGTTTTCAAGACCTGTTTCACAATTATTTGCCAGCAAAAGTATGTGTCTTTTCCCAAGAAAAATATTGAGGGCTTTTTGCACTGCGCCTTACATAAGAGAGCAAGAGGACCACAAGGCCTCTGGGTACCTCTCCAACACTTGTCCAGTGCAGAAACAGAAGCCACAACCTCAGAATGATGAACACAGAAGCGCCCATGAAGTTGTCTGAGTTTAACTAAAATAGCTGCAAACACATCTAGACAAACACTGATCTGGGATAACTACGGACTTTGGAAAAGCTGCGGAGGTCGCAGTAAGGCTGGGTACACAATGTCATCTGTAAGTCCTTTCTCTCATCTACAGAAATCAAAGGAGAGACATGCTCTGACTTACAGACACTGTAAAAAACACTAATTATTTTCTTCATATTAAAAAAATATCTGCTTAGGGAATAGCCCCATGGTTCAGCCTAAAGACAGGACATTACAAACACAAAAGTATTTTTTACCACTTTACACAAAGTATGTGAATTTTTTTTTTTCAACAGTGATTTCCAATAACCTGAAAGTGATCAGACCAAATACAGCACAGGTGAGACTACCTGGCAGGCAGTACATCAGGAATTCACCTTGCCCCTCCTTTCTGGGCACTCCCAAGGGCTGGCTGTAGGCCAGACTGATTTAGTTCTAGCAGTGGAAGATCCTCCTCCCCCACGCTGTACTTCTTTCAGGGGCTCCAAAGCCTCTCCCCTTCCCCTAGAAGCATGGCAACAGGAGCAATCTGCCACAGCCAAATCACTCGAGGTAGCCTGAAGCCTTCTCCAGCTTGGCTTTGAAAGGTAAGTCAACACCTCAGACTGCCCTCATCCTCAGAAAGGGCTTGGGTTTTACTTGCATGCAGCTGCTGCATCATGCACATGGAGAAGTTGGAGTACCTACAAAGCAGCAGTGACCTGCCTGCGCTAGAGGGAGGCAGGAGAGGTTATCCAGCCTGATGCTCACCTGGCTCCCTTCTCCTTAGGCTGTGGGCCAAGGCATCCTGCACAGGTAGGAACTGACTAGTCCGTGTGTGCCAAGCGAGTCTGGGTCCACACAGCAGGACTGCCTGCCCTTGCAGCAAGGGTGCACGAAGAAGGCCAGGGTGCAGTGTCCATCTCCTGAATCTCTGGAAAAACACCAGGCTCTGCCCCTTGCCTGTCTTCTTGGCTCTCTGGGCTGCTCTGCTAAGCTGGGCAAAGTCCTGTTTTGTACTCCAGCGGGACATGTTGTGCAGCCATAGCAGTGGCCCTCATTTTAGTGTTCTCCAAGTTTGCAGGTGTTAACGAGTCCTTTAACAAAAGTGGCAACTTTTGGATGAGGCCAGGGGCAGCAACTGGCAGTGCATGCGGCTGAAATGGCAAAGCACAGCAAACACAAGGAAGAACCCAGCGAGTGCCAAAGCAGCCGGAGCTTGCAACCCCGGGCTGCACTTCCCAAAGCTAACCAAGTGGTTGACTGCCATTAAAAGCAGGTCTCTCTGCCAGCTTTGGCAGTTGTTGGTCTCTTCCATAAGCAGCGTTAACTCACTGACCTGGCAGGAAACTATCCAGCTGCCTTTTTTTTTTTTTTTTCAATCTTACTTTGTTAGATTTCTGCCAGGTCAGTGAGTTAAGAAGCTCACAGAGGTCTGGCAAATGCTGGTTCTGGCTCAGGGCCCGGGGGAGTGCATAGGGTGCTAGAAGAAATAACTCTGCCCTGAGCACGAGGCCAGTTAAACTGACTCACGGTTCATGAACCTGCACCTCCAGAGGACTAGGGAGGGTTTTATAAGCAGCAGCAAAAGGTCAAATATCAAACAGAAGTACAAAACCCAGACAGAGCCAACAGTGAGAAAAGCACAGAAATCAACAGAAGAGCTGATGATATTAAAAAAAGTCCGCAATACAGTGTCTTTTCTGGAATTACATTCAAACTTCCTGCTAAGGTGACACTATACTAGGTAGAATACTGGATAAGGTACTAGAAACAGAAACGCCCATTTCTCTTCAGAGGTTTTGTTCAAGTACCTCAACATGCTTCACACTGCAACACCCTGTATTTTTGTTTTTGAGCTTGGGTCTTAGCTCTCTAGTAGGGAAGGCAAAGAGTTTCAGGGAGCTAAAAATCAATCCATGCTCTCCCACTTATGTTGACTTTGAAGACTGTGTAAACTACGATTTGGGGAAATGAGATAGATTGTCAAGAAGAGGTTTTCCATGTCATCACCAGGCACCAGCCCAATCTGAAGGGTACTCACCTTGCTACTCCTTCAATCATATTAGTGATTCAGATACAGGGAATGTCCACTGAAGATGGAAGCAACTTGAGAAATCCCACCTTTAACAAAACTCAGTGTTAAAAAATTTAAGATGCTAAATCTGCAAACTTCTTACTCTGCCATGTACAGTGACAAAGCCTTAGACTGGGAGTGCTTAAGGTTATTTCTTTTTTCTCTTGTTAGCTCCCAGGCAAGGTGGAAATCCTCCTCCTGGGAAGCAGCTTCCCTCCTCTGCTTCCTCTAGTTAAAGGCTTTTACTTTTTAAAGGCTTTTGCAGGCTTTACAAAGCAAGTAGCAGACACTACCATTTGAGATAAGGCTTTCTACACTCGGTTTTTTAGCTACACGTTGCAACATCATGCTGATCTCCTTTTCAAGATTACCTGGAGAGATAAGACTGAGTTTTACCCCTAGCTTCTCTACAGGTAATTCTATGCCAGTTTTTCCAGTGAACTTTTATTTTCTCTGAAACTTTGCCCTGTAGCTTTAGGGCTTTTATCTTGACCTATGATTGCAAATGACAAAAACATTTTCAGATATCACACAATTACAGCACACATGACTTCTCTGTCACCTGCTTTTCTCCAAAACAGTTCTCTCCCACATACCAAAGCCAAAGGACAGCACGAGATAGATGCTTAATATAGAGCTTAGGTATCATGCTTAAGTTGGCAACAACAATCTCTATGCTTTTAAGATACAACTGCTACCTGGCCAAAAAAAAGTTATTATTTCATTACATCATCACTGGTTTATTACTCTTCCAAACATGGAGCAGAATAACCCAGTTACAACGGGTACCAGAGTACTCTGTGAGAGAAGAGCAGCTTTGCAGGCTGCACCCTCTGCCCTTGCCAAACATGCTTTCTTCATGCCCTTCTCGTAGCTACGCCTTCCCTGCCAGCCACCCAGCGAGACGTCCTGCCCAAGTCACACTGCATAACCGCTGCTCACCAGCTATTCTGCATATTCTCTCCTGGTATTTGCCCATTGCTCATGTAGAAATGTAGTGTTGGAAAGTATCAGACACTTATCTTTACTTCTCAGACACTGGCATGCTTTGTTTCTGGTCTCTGTTCAGGCCAGCTTTGACACATTGCAGCGGTGTAGCTGGAACAGAGATTCAAGGATTGCTACCTTGCAGCTGTTGAACTCCAGCTATGGCCTGAACACTGATCTGGTCCATACTGCAGGGAAGCAGGGATAGCAGAAGACAGGTGGAAAAGATGTGGCCAGGAGACAGCCAGATTTTAACAAATGTGCAATCTGCAAAATAAGGGAGATGAATGCAAGAGAAGACGATGATCTGCAGTTGTGTTTTGAAAAGCTTGATAAAATTTAATTTTCTCTTAGGGACTGGAAACTTTATCAGAGGTTTCTCTGGAGATATTTTCTCTTCTGCCCTTATTTGCACAGTAGATAAAAAATAAACAGCAGCTGCAGACAACCTGCTGTAAATGGGAACTCAATAGCAGCGGCAGCCTCACTCTCGGCAGCCTGTTCTCGCTGCCGTAGGCGCAAAGCTTGTGAGGCATGCGTGCCGAACAGCAGCGTGCTGCTGGGGAGACGGGGCAGACCCACGTCCTGTGCGGGCAGCCGCTATTGATCAACTCCGATAAGCTGGGAACCATCGCTTCAAAAACTAGCAGTTCCCTCTGGGCATGGATGAGGAGAGCAGTGATGGAGGAGGATCAGGAGGTATGGAGATCAGCTGTAGCTGGTCAGACCAAAGGTCCAGCTAGCCT